GGTGGGGGTGGGGGGGTCCATGCAAACACGTGCACGCCGTAGACCAGAATTGCTCAGACCTCTGCTCCTCCGCTCCTACCACCAGTTACCAACCTTCACTGCCGGCGCCTTGTGCCAAGGCTTCTCCGTAGCCATCCAGAGGGCTCTTGCCGCCTTAGATAACGTCGTAATCTCACGTGTAATGGGTTGTGTCATTCGACAGCCGCCCGTTGGGTCAATTAAGGAGTGGCACCAATTCATTCCTACGCGGGTCCTCCAGCCCTCCCCCAAAACGGTGCCCGGCACAGACACAAGTGCTGCCAGCCCCCGTGGGAGCAGGGCGCGGGGCTGGGGGGCAGGATTGCCAGGCTCGGGATTGCTTTCACGCAGCTCAGATTTTAGCTTGTAGTTTATTTATCCTCTGCCAGTACAATAAACGTGGTCGGGGAGCTTGCTTTTCTCCAAGTTCTGTAAAGACCTTTATGTTCTGCATTTGAATTCTGCTGTTAATTGGTTTTGATGACTAACTTCTCCGTGGAGTTTTATCTTTTAAAAAGCAAGTTGATTGCAAAGTTTAAAACAGTTATTAAAAAAAAAAAAAGAAAAAAAAAAAAGACTTGATAACAACAAAAGGGTAATCAGAGCTAGCATAAAAATATCAATCTTAGTGTTTGGAAAATATTTTTAAATGCTGAAAAGAAGAAAAACCCGTTGTTTTCAGACAGCTAATGCAAGCATTTACAGATACACATACAACATGGAGCATAATGTTTAGATGTTTCTCCGTATACAACATATGCTCTCAGGTCACTTAACAGAATGCGTTCTACAAAACGCTTCGTCAATACAAATGAATGAGTTCTGAATTAAACAGCTATTTCTTAAGAGCATTTCATTCAAATCCTTTCTTTTTGCCACCTGGCACTTGTTTTGTCTGAAAAAAAAATATATATACTCAGTGGCGCGTAGTTTGAGCTTTGCCGTTGCGGTTAGTTGTGTATTCCCGTGATGAGCGTGGCTGAGCGGTGAAACCTGGACGTGCAGTGGCTTGCGTAAAGCATCTGTGCTGAATTTTGGTTCGCATTTTTTGTGACATTTATGAATTTATAAGGACTACTAGCTTTGTTACTACGAGGAAAGGAAAACAGAAATGCTTCGGCTTTTTTAGGAAGTTTTAATGGGTTTACAAACTTGTAAATATTTTATCATGGAAAAATATGGAGCACCACAGAAGTTCGTGTGTTTGAAGGAACAGTGTACGGTGTGAGCACTCTTGTAGCAAGTGCAGGGAGGACTCGTAGGACAAGTTTCACGCTTTCCACATCATCTTTGGATGATTCTGCCATGCAAGGAGACAGAGAGTGGTGGTAAACTATTTTAGCATTAGCAATCTTGTAAAATGTACTGTTAAGCTGGGCGTAGCAAATGCGGGGATGAGTTCTGCTATGTATAATAAAACCAAATAGCTCCAACTGATGTTTGTATTTGTAATCATGAAATAAGATACTTTTCAAAGAAAGCCAAAGCAATACAAGTGACTCTTAAGGGAAAGTACATCTGTGGAAGAGGTGGATAAAAATGGAGATACGTAGAGGAGAAATCGTCCCCAGAACCAGACTGAAAGGGAAGGAAAACCCTTTCCTGCAGTATTTTGGCACCTGCTGAGGGTGGGAGGGGTTGCCTTCCTGCTGCTGCTGACTCCGCAGGTGCTGGTGGTCAGCATCTCGTGGGAATGACTGTCAGGATGAGGTGGAATGGGCAGGGTTTTAAAACCTGCCTATAAAACCTAGAGTAGGCACGAAGGTTACCTGGGTCATTGGACTTCCTAAAGAGATCAGAAGCGGGCATTTGGCCTGGGGTCAGGCAGTGGGGCTCAGGAGCTTGCTCCCAAGGTGCCCACAGAGGCAGAACCAAGGGTCGGGGCAGAAAACCTGGGAACGGGGTACCAGGCAGAGTCTGGCAACATCTGTTGGCTCTGAGGCATCACGGAAAACATCTGGGAGGTGCAAAATGGGTGTCGGAGTGACCCACAAGCTGAAAGTCAGGCTGGGCGAGGGAAGCTTGGACAGAAAGTATGTAATGATGGGGTGATTCTTGCCTACCAAGGAGTAATAAATAAAGACTCATGGGGCCAAACTGCCTTTTAATGTACATGATCACAGCTTTAGTTGCTTCGGTGGTTTCTGACGTCTACTCAAATAGAAGGTTTGATGCTTCAGTCCCAGCCAGGTCTTTTTTTTTTTAGCTTATAAAATAAATATTATTTATTGTGTTTTATTTTTATCCTCAGGACTATTCATTAAAGTGTTTTTCACATTATTAGCAGAGAAACAAGAATATGAATTGAACAAAGAGAAGGAGTACAAAGTTGAATTCCGATATATAGCAGCAAGACACCAAATGCTGTGTTGCATGGTGGCAGAAATACAAACCTCTCCACATCAATAGCAAGATCCACTTTGATACCGTAACTTCAAGTACTGCCCCACGAGTATAAAACTCAGGATCTTTTGTCTAATCCAGAATGCTTTTGAATTTTTAGGAGGTATGACTTTAATAGTAATTTGTTGACAGATTAGCTGCAGAGATTGCAAAGAGTTTATTTTGCAGAACTGGCAGGCTCCTATCAGTGTTCTCTCAAGGAAAAAAAACACACATTGCTGTTTTGCAATTGCTTGCATTTATTGACAAGCTGCGCTGAGCAGGCAGAATCGGAATGTTTGTATAATGTAAACCTATAGCTTGTCTGATGGAGTGTGGTGTACTTTTAGGTAGTGCGTAGATTGCTTGATAAAAAGGGTTACAAGGTGACTGTGTTTATGACAAACTGGAATAGCGATACAAATGCAACTGGTACATGGAGAAACAAGGAGGAAGTTTCTTCTCTTCACTTTGTCTTTGAGCTGAACTATACTGTAATTGTGAAGTGTCACTTCAAGCTTTCTGAAGAGTTTAGATAAATACTGGTTTTGTCATGTGTCCACAAAGTAAGGAAAGAAGGGGGTTTTTCCTTGAAAAAAATGGACGGCGTTACATATATATTCCATTGTATCCTGTTTTGTAGTTTTTACACTTCTATTCCACTGAATGTATACAAATGAAAAATACAGTTTTGTTCACGTATAGGAGATAAAAAGAATGTTTGACAGACATAAGAAATTTGGACTGGGTTCTGGTGTCTGTGCCCAAGCCAGTGATTTCTTCACAGTCGGTCTCACTGACTGCAGTTGGGGTGTTTGTGGTATCGATGTGAAGATGCCACAGTTGGGCCCTTTGGCAGTGGTTGTTTTGAGAAATGTTGAGATGTGAAGTGTTGGATTGAGGGAAGCGAACTCCAGTGGGAATACGTGGTTTCTTCAGATTTTGTTCATGTCCAAAGACGAGGAAAATGTACAAGAAATGGGGAGTGTGGTGTTTTGTTGAGAGGCTTCTTTAATTGGGTAGATAAA